TTTGTTTCCCGTTGGGAAGAAATTTCAAATAGTCAGTTTGTTTTAAGTCTCTTTTGGAGCGGTTATCTGGAATTTTTAGCTCAACCTTCCCACACTTTTTATCTGACAACTTTGCCAAGAGAGCAAGTAAAAGCTCAAGCATTAATCGAGTGTGTGCAAGATCTAGCTTCGCAGAATGTAATTGTTCCCGTTCCAGAGGGGCAGCAGTTTCTGGGGTTTTATTCAAATGTATTCTTGGTAACAAAACCATCGGGAAAGTTCAGGAGGATCTTAAATTTGAAAAAGTTGAATCAGTTTCTAGTTTACAAACATTTCAGAATGGAGAGTATTCGGTTCGGAGAACTCTCCAAAAATCAATATTTATGATCACCCTGGATTTGAAAGATGCGTACCTACACATACCCATTTGTTTGGACCATCAGAAGTTCCTGCGCTTCGCAATAAAGACTAAGCTGGGGGAATTGTTCACTGGCAGTTTCGGGCACTTCCTTTTCGGCAGCCCTCATAATTTTCACCAAGATTTTGGCAAAACCAATATCATTTTTGCGCCTCCAAGGCATTTGTCTAATTCCATATCTGGGCGTTCTCCTAATTTATGGCCATTCGGAAAGGGAAGTCTTGATCAACTTAAAAAAAGGTCAAAGACTTGCTGGAATATTTGGGCTGTATTGTAAAATCTGGAGAAGTCATTTCTCACCCTGGCCCAGTTAGTGGTCTTTCTAGGCTACAAGGTGGACTCTGTGGCGGGGAAGTTATTTTGGACAGAAGAGAAAATCCTCAGACTTCTGGAGATGATGCAAGCCGCCCTTTATACAATGTGTTTGACCTTTTAAGGGACATCATGCGGCTTTTAGGAGTCATGATCTCTTCGATTCCAGCTCTGAATTTGGCTCAGTTCCATTCCAGACGTGTTCCTATTGTCACAGTGGGACAGGAGGAAGGAATCTTTGGAGCAGATGGCTCGCCTACCAGGAGACGTTCGGGAGTCTCTCAGCTGGTGGATGTCGTGAGAAAAGCTAGTGGAGGGCAAGTTATGGGGTCAAACAGATCCCATTCAGGTCACCAAGGATGCCAGTTCTTGGGGCTGGGGAGCTCATATGTTGGGTTTGCATGCTCAGGGACCCTGGCCTCAAGAACTAGTAAACGTCTCTTCAAATTTCAGGGAACTATCAGCGGTGAAGGAAGCATTGAGGGCTTTCCAGACAAGCCTAGTTGAGAAAGAGGTGCTGGTGTCTTCGGACATTTCCACCACGGTGGCTTACCTTAAACCACCAAGGGGGAACCAGATCCCCGGCACTAAAAGCAGCGGAGGATATTTTTCTCTGGGCAGAGTCTCGGATATGTTACATTTCGGCAGTCCACATAAAGGGAGTGTGCAATAACGAGTGGGAACCTCCATCGGTAAGTGTTTGCACAAATGGGGACAGCCGGAAGTGGACTTCTTCGCAAACAGACTCAACCGAAAAGGTACCTATATATGTTTTTCCCTATGCAGGGAGACTGGTTCCAAAGGGGTGGATGCACTGTCTCAGAGCTGGGGTTTCAGTCTGGGATATGCATTTCCTCCTCTGGTTCTTCTGCCTTGTATTCTACAAAAACTGAGCAGATCCCCATGTAGCCTCGTTCTGGTGGCGCCATGGGGAGCCAAGAGAATGTGGTTCTCTGAACTTCAGGTTCGATCCATCCTCCCTCCTTGGGGTCTGCCGTCTCATAAGCCAGTTTTACATCCGAATCCGAACTTCTTTCAATTGACGGCCTGGCTCTTGAGAGGCGGATCCTGCAAGTAAAAGGGTGTTCAGAGAAGGTTGTTGAAACCCTTCTTTCTAGCAGAAAGTTTGTTACTAGGAAGATTTACAGTAAAGTCTGGAGGGCCTTTTCCATCGTGGTGTAGGCACAGAAATATTGTTTCACCTTCGATTCCTGTTATCTTAGACTTTTTACAGGAGGGCCTGGATAAAAAAAAAAAGCTGTCAGCAAGCTAAAAGTCCAACTATCGGCTCTTTTTCTGTATTTTTGGATTTAAAATTGATGGAGGATCCGTTGGTACAACGATTTCTAATAGCTGCAGAACGTACTTGTCCGCTAAAAGATAAGATGTTCCCTCTGTGGGATTTGTCTTTGGTGTTAAGTGGCCTTTCTAAACCCCCCTTTGACCCGATAGAAGAAATCTGTGAAGTGGTTATTTCTGAAAATTGCCTTTCTTTTAGCTATTACTTTGGCTAGAAGGATCGGGGACCTGCAGGCAATTTCTATTAAAGATCCTTATTTGTTTATACTGCCAGATAGTTATCATCCTAAAACCAGATCCTTTGTACTTGCCAAAGGTATCTTCCCAATATCATAGATCTCCGGAAATTATTCTTCCTCCTTTCTGTGATAACCCTAAGGATCC